TTAATCATACCAGCCGCAGTTGTGGTGAGGAAGATAAAAGTCCACCTGCACATACTTGGCTTTGCTTTAACACCTTAGGGGCTTTCTTTTTAGAGGATCTTAACGAACTGCAACACCTCCCTCTGAATAGCATTATAAGCCAAAGGTTCTAAGTAGGTTTAACGCTTTGTTTTTAATAATACGGTAGCATATAGGCCTAAGTGTATCCCTTGGGATCGATGGTATAACCTAATCTAACTTAAATTAATAAAATTATTGGTTGAAATTGTACACCTAACTAAATAACTCCTCAATCAGTTTATAAATATTTATAATAATAGCAAAAAATGTTAGTTTTTGTAGTTTAATAAAAGATGTTAACATCTTTATAGGAATTTAAAATTTTTAGTTTATCAAATAAAATATAATAATGAAAAATTTAAATAAAAAAAAAACATTGTCAGAAAATAATTAAACCCTTGTTGCAACCAGACTTTTCAATCTCTTAATTCCAATGCTCCAGTGTTCCAAATGTTCATGTTAACATGTGTCGAAAAAGTTGTATGTATTTACTGTAGAACCCATCAATCAATTTAGGCAACTGCAGTCTGTTTGAGTATATTTTGGTAGCAGCATTTCAATTTTTTTTATCATGTAATAAAAACTGCAATTTATAAAATATTATTTTGCAGAATTCTTTAAATCACTATAAATGAATATACTTTAGGTACATTAAAATCGAAAATAGATAACTAGTAAAGTAATCTTTTAATAAATGAATTATAAAAATTGTACTTTAAAGTATTTAAGGATTACGGTGGTCGAAGAGTTTATTAGAGTTGCTCGATTATATTCGAGTCATATTTTGAGGTCTCTGTGTTTTATTTTTATTTTTTTTTATATAATTATCATAAGAATTGCTGTTAAGTAGTCAGGCATAAGAGCCTGACTTTTAAAAAAGTCGGATTAAGTGACTCGTACATATCACTTGGAACGTATTCGTATTCTTAGTGCTATGGAGCCAGCTATTATAATATGAATTAATTTGTTTTTTAATTTAAAATATATTTTACTTCTCTTGAACTTTAAAATATCTTTCTATATGTACTATATTTCTTAGTTTAAATAAATACTTTCACTTATCACTGCATTAGGATGATTACTCTCATAAAGTCTTTGAAAAAACTACATTAAAAAATAAAATAAAGCTTCTATTATCGAATACTATACTTTATATACTTGATAAGATGATCTATTGCTTACTTATATCAATATTTGAATTTAATCCTTTTGATTTTTGCTTATTTAATTCTTTAAGGTTGCAAGAATTCATGTTTTCAAGAAAGACTTTTTAACGACTTTTTGCGTGAATATTTTTTTGAACTTGTTCGGTTATAAAATGATATAGGTTCTAACAAAAGCTAATTGAATAATAATGCACGAGAAAGAGATGTATACGTTTAGTATACGGTTTACATTGGTCTGAGTGAAGAGGATTTTATACTAGTACGTAAATATATAATAGACAGTATTTTTTCGATTTTTCTAACATATATTATTTAGTATAAGTTACAAAGTTTCTAATTTATTCAAATGTAATAAGAAACCATGTTTAAGAGAATTTTAAAATTTCAGTCTATTTTATAATTGCTAAGCTTAGATCTCACAATCATAAGTATGAGTTAGTCAATATCACATAACTAATTTATAAAATATGGTAATATTATATGATATATGATTTCATTAAATTTGATTTGAATATTTGAAAGCAGTTGAATTTGAATTTAAATTTGAAATGACACATATTTTATTTTGCAAGTAGAAACAATGCACAATAAATCAAAATAATGAGCATTTGTTTCTTAAGTGACTTGATTTACACCTAAGTCATTAATTTTTGTGACATCAGTCATACTTTAGTTACTATTAACATTAAAGTTATGATTATGTGAAATCGGACATATACCTATACTAGGTTATAAGCAGTATATTTTACAGTATGAATCAGTTACTGCATTCCAAACTGAAGTCAGCATTCAGTTTGCTTAAGTTGATCTTTTTAACTGCTCCTTAAAATCCCATACATTTATTAGTAGCATACAATACATAAATTAGAAGTATAATTTGCATTTTCCTTTAGACTCTTTAATTCTAAAATGTTGTTTAACCTCAACCATGTTAGGGTTTTAAAGATGTTAGGAGTAATAGATAAATTATAATCCTTTATTGAAACCACAATCGTTTTTATCTGTTGTGTCGCCTTTTTGTAGAAGATTAAAGCTTGCAGTACAACTCCATTCAGTTATTCTGAAGTCTGATTTTAGTCTTTGTCATGTCATATTAATTATCATCTGTATAAACGATATATTCAAAAAAGTAAACTATATAATATTAAATTAAAAATGACATCATCTTGACCTTTTCACATAGTCGCTTACAAAATTTTCTTTAACATGATTGAAACTATATTATTTGCAATTTTCTTTAAAAACAGCCATAAAAAAAAATGCATTCATTCGCTAATACACGTAATGCGGCAGTGAATAACTATAAAAGTTATGAACGTAATGTATTTGCAGTTAAAATAAGTTTTAGTTTTTCATCATAATTTTATTTTAAAGTGCAAAAATCTACGTTTTAATAACAAAAGTTATTAAAATTTTCTCCGTTACCCCTTTTAGTAACCATTTACAAAAAAAAAAATAAATAAAAGAAATAAAACAAAAGCCAAGTGATGAGCCATATTTAAAATGTTTTTTTTTTTAAGTAGTTTAAAAATTTTACAATATTTTTAGTGAATTCATTGCACTTGGCACTCTGCAATAAATACCAAAAATAAAAAACAAAGTGCATTTTGGCGTAAATCCGTGCAATTTAAATTTAAATTGTTATTTTTATTGTTGTCTACGGCTTTGACGTGCAACGCAGTGCTGCTTTTATGCACATTTGTTGCAATTATTTTTGTTGGTTTTAACTATTTTTTACACAAAAAGCAAATGGAAAATTTTGCTGAACTTAAGTTTTAATACTGCAAAAAAAAAAAAAAAAATTAAAAAAAATACTATATAAACTAATATAATTAAATGATTTTTTGGTTGTTAATTCTAAATTAAAACAGTCGTAGCAATGTACGAATGTTTAAAATTTTAATGAGTGCATTACCATTTGTGCGGTAGCAATAAAAATATAAATACACTATATTTAAAAACACAAACCAAACCGTTAAAATAATTTAAGTACACAAAAGAAAAAAAAATAATATAAAAAAAAAACAAAATTAAATGGATGCACAAAAATGCAACAGTAGCTTAAAAAATGCAATCATTTGGTGCAAAGCACACATATCGTATCTCATAGATAAATAATAAATGTTCATACATTTTTTTATTGCTTATCTTTAGTAGGCTATTGTTAGGTGTTAAAAAGTCTATTTTTCACCATTTTTTTTTTTGTACTTCAATTGATTAAAATAATAGTTGCTTACTATTACTTCTTTAGTTTAAGTCTTAAAGTATACGAATTAAATTTACATATTTAGTGCTTATTAATTTTGCGCAATAAAAAAATAATTTTCTCTATGCATTGAAGTAAAAACTTTTTAAATCTACTAATGTTTGCAATACTGTAACTCATCATTTATTCATTGTAATTGTATTTTTGTGTTGGAACTAAAATAATTTTGCTAATTTTAATTGAAATGAATGTATAAGCTCTACTTATAGTTTGTTGTATTCTATTTGTTTTGTGTGTTTCGAAATTTTATTTTCACATTTTCCATTTTCCATTGTATTGTAGCACACAAAAGATACTAGAGAGAACGAATAACACGATACATGTGAAATTTAATTTGTTAGTATTTTTTTATACTAATTTAGAATTTAAACTAGGTGTGTTTGTTCAGAAAAATTGCATGAAAAAATAGTGAAATTTAATTGTATAGGTAATAAAAAGCAAAAAGCGGTAAATGTGAACATTTCTCTTATTATATATTATATATTACAAAAATTTATTCTCTTCTCATCACATAAGTAATGTTACTTAATATTTATAGTCTAATGAAATAGCAACTCTTTATACGTAATCAAAAATTTTTTCTTATTGATTTTTAAAATTAAAAATGCTTGTAAAACACTGTTTGCTAAACAAATTTTTTCTTATTATTTCCTATTTATAAAGCAGTGTTTTTAATTTTTATTTTATGTATAACTTGTTATATTATTTTATATAACTTATTTTAATATACATTTTTTTATAAAAATTTTTTTGTATATGTTACAAAATTTTTTTATATAAATATTTTATATACATTTTATATTACAGTTTTTTTCTATACTT